GAGGGGGTAATTAATCTGAACTGTAATTAATCATTAATTGGGGGTCAGTGTGACCTCACAGCCCCCCCCCCCCCGCCCCCCCCCCAGCCCTGAACGCGAGCTGGTTTCCTTCCTGATCGCCCGGAGGGTGGCTGCGACGGCACCGGAAGTGGCTGCGACGGCACCGGAAGTGGCTACGACAACGGCACAGGGGGAGGCGACGCGCTCCCCCTGCTGTGTGTCAGCGATGGACGGGGGGTGGGCGAGGGTGACGGCGCCCGTGCGCCCCCGCCCCCGGCAGGTCCCGCTGTCTCTGTGCTGCCCCGACGGGGTGTTGAGGAGGGTGACGGTGACGGCGGCGCGACACGGGCGGTACGTCGCTGTGACGTCACGCGGTGCCGCTGTGATGTCATCGTTAGCGGCGGCCGGGCGTCAGCATTAATTGATCCCTGCAGGCTGCTGTACCGCCAGGCACGCGCCAGCCGCTGGGGGGACCTGCTGCCATTCCCTGCTGTCGCGCAGAGTGACGTCACGCCCGCCGAAGCAATAAAAAGCAGTGAAGAGTAGCGGCGTGACGTCATCATTGCGGGCCGGGAAAGGGGGAACTACGGCTCCCAGCAGGCGCCGCGCCGCGCATGCGCGCTTCCAGAAAGCCTGCTCGGCCCCCCCTCCCGAGGCCACGCCCCATACGTGCGTGCGCAGCGACGCCCCTTCACTTCCGGTGCAGCCGCCGCCATGTTTCTGCAGTGCTACAGCGATGAGCGCGGGCAGCGCGTTTATACGTTGAAGGTAACGTAGGGCCTTCAGGTGTGGGGGGAAATGGGGGGGATTTGGATGGAGGTGGGCGAGATGGGGACGGCGGGGGGGTTTGGGGCGAATTGAAGGCATGGCGGGGCTGTGGGGGGGGGGTTGCGCGGGCCGTTGTGTGCGTTGGAGCGGTTTGCGGGGCGCCTGGATGGGTTTGAAAGGAGTTTGGCGTCATTTGGGGCGATTTCCGAGGTTTTATGGGCTTGGAGGCGCCCCGTCCTCACTTCCCTCATATCCACGCGTAGAAGCTGAGCCCTGCCGGCCTGCCCACCAGCTCGGCCCACCCGGCCCGTTTCTCCCCCGACGATCGCTTCTCCCGCCACCGTTTGGCCCTCAAACGCCGATTCGGGATCCTCCCAACCCAACGTCCGAGACCGCTGCTTTGAGAACCGGCCGACGTTTTAAATAAACGCTTCTTTATTACCCCCCCTCCTCCTTCCCCCGTCCTCCTTTCAATCCACGTGGTCTGCGGCGGTGGGCGGGACTTCCGGTCTTCGAGCTACGCCCCCTGCGGCGGTCCCTGCCGCATTGTGGGCGGGACTTCCTGTCTTTTAGCCACGCCCCGTCTGCTGCCCCCCTCCCCTCTTCCCCTCCCCAGCTTTATAAGGAGGCGGCGGTGGGGAAAAACGGGGTGCCAAAAAAAAATCCTCGGGTTCGGACCCAAAAGTGAGGCTTGGGGGATGGCGGGCTTTGAGAAGGGGGGGGGGGGTTTGGGGTTCTGGATGCGGTTTGGGGGGGTTAAAAAGCGAAGGATGGGGGGTGGGAGGTGATGCTGAGGGGGGTTGGAGGCCAATTGTGGGGTTTTAAACCCGAAATGGGGGGTTGGGGGGCTCTGATGGGGAGGTGGGCAGCCGGAAAGGACCCGAAACGCGGGGCTTTGGGCCCAAAATGCTGCTTGCAGGGAGGGGCTGTGAGCAGAGCACCCCAAAAAGGTGCCGTTTTTGCTCTCAGAACGGGGCTTTTTTTTTCCCCTTTACGATCGCTTAGAATTTCCATTTTGCACTTCGTTGTCCTCCCGAAAATTCGGTGTTTTTCCCTCAGATTTTGGTCCCTTTCCCCCCCCTTACACCCTTGAGGACCTTTTTCACGCTCCATTGGGGTCCTTTTCCCCCCTTACACCCTTGAGGACTTTTTTCGCGCTCCATTGGGGTCCTTTTCCCCCTTACACCCTTGAGGACTTTTTTCGCGCTCCGTTTGGGTCCTTTTTGCCCCCTTGCACCCTTGAGGACTTTTTTCACGCTCTGTTTCGGTCCTTTTCCCCCCTTGCACTCTTGAGGACCTTTTTCGCGCTCCATTCGGGCCTTGTTTCCCCTCACCCTTTCCTCCCTTTTCCCCTCACCCTTTGCACCTTAGCCCCCCCCACACCCCTCCACCCCATATGGCGGCGGTGCGTTTCGTTGTCACGCCGAGCCGCGGGGCCGACTTATCCGAATCCAGCCCGGAGCCGCCATCCGCTTCCAGTTCCCGCCCGCCGCCATCGGACAGCAGCCCGAGTGCCAGCGAGACGTCGGCGGCGGCGGCGGCGGCACCGCGCGGTGAGCGCCCCCTTGCGGCGGGAGGCCTATAGGGCAGTGTGTTGTTATTGGGGGGGGGGCGG